CTGTAATGCATATGCATGTGCACACATTTTGATTCCTATCATATATGAGGTATACTAGGGGTCTCCAACCCCCGTAACACAGATGGGTACCAGTCTGTGGCCTGTTAGGAACTGGGCTGCACAGCTGGAGGTGAGCAGCAGGTGAGCAAGTGAAATCACCCCCCCCCCCATAGAAAAATTCCATGAAACCAGTCCCTGGTACCAAAAAGGCTGGGGACCGCTGATGTATACTATTCATAAGATAAAAAGTAAGAAAGCGAGAGATCTCAATAAGAGCAATGTTTAACTGTAGCACTTCTTTTGCACAGATACACATTGAATGAAGCATCCCATCAATCTGTTTTAAAATTGTGCTATTCCCATCTTTTAGCATGAACAAGTGCTACCATTAAGTTTTGGAGAGTATAAAGCCAACCTTTTCAGACATAGCTTTGGATTTCTTAAAACAAACTAACCATTTTCCATCCAAGCAATCCTATTCAGCTAGTTGTTACTTGCTCCTTTTGCTTTATTTTCCGGAACCTATAATCCTAAAATACTCATTTTTCTAAACAGATTTTCAGTAATTCAGATCAACAGGAATAGTCTTCTTTAAGAAATATGGCTGATGTTCAACTTCTGTTTGAACATCTCCGTTCAAGGGGAACCTACCATCTCCTTTGGATTTATTATAATCCAGGATCAGCAACACAATTACTAATACATAAATGCATGAGTTACAATTGTAGGTATATAGCTCATTTAGAAATAACTAGCAAAGGCACAACAGTCCCCTAGTGGTCTCTATAGGCTGGCACACAAAATCTAGGTACTTTGTGAATTGTATCAGTTGGAATACCCACCCCAAAGAAAGAAACATAACCATTATCTGTACACTATAAAGAAGTGATAAAAGAGGGAAAATTAACTCATTGTACAGCCTCTATAAAAGCACACAGTCAAGAAAAACATAACTATTTCAATGCTTCCAGAACCATACAAGCAAATACATTTATTTTAAAAGGTACTCTACCACCAGCTAGCAAAGCCAACACACTAACTTTAAATGTGCCATGGGAAATGTTCTGATATTTGGGCTCAGTTAAGATGATAATCAGCTTTTCCTGGCTGGGATTCAGCCTTTGAGGATTCAAATTCTCTAGGTAATTATTTCTACTGTTGAGCAGCTCTTACTGTTAACTGAAGTATAATATGCCTTTCTGCAATTTTAAGATTATTATGTTTTGCGCTCTGGATTGATAGAACAGATTATGGCCTTCCTGTTCTGATAACTTTCCAAGTACTTTGTATCTTCTCTAAGTTGTCTCTTTTCAAAGTTTTATAATACTCAGTTCTTATAAGCCAGGGGTATCAAACTCGCCGTGTCACGTGACATGTCACGACGTATCGCAACCTTTTTCCCATTGCCGGAGCTGGGGTGGGTGCGGTTTTGGCATGATGCATCCGGCCCATGGGCTGGCAGTTTGACACCCCTGTTATAAGGAGTTCCTATCCCAGGCCTTAGTCAAAATTTCATCATGATCATTGTGATTACCAACAGCTGTGTTCTATCCTCCTGATATGTCTTAATCATATTTCATCCTTTTGCCTCTCAATGGTGCAATTCAGTAATCTTAGACTTACAATTCAAAGGGCGTTGTACTGCATAATACATCACTTCATTTTTTTTCAAGATGGTAAGCCTCTGGAACCCTTCTGTGAATTATTCTCATTGGGTTTCTGGAGTTCTGCACCATAGTGCTGTCCTATCGTGACAACTTTCTTGGCTGTAATAGTGGAATTGATTCATGTATACCACAAATTATGGGAGGCTATCTCTTTCCATATCTAGAATAGGATCTTGAGATAAACACTTCAAATGACTTGGGGCTGCTGTGAAGTCAACAGAAAAGTAATTGCTGTGGGTGTGGTCCCACCCATCTGCTGGGGAAAATATTTAGTAATGAGTTAGAGGATTAAGGGGACTTGGCAGTGCACTGTGTTCAGGCAGATGTTTTAAGGATACTTAGTGTCCCTGATCATAGCTAGCTTAGCCACATGGCAAGATTTTGTTATCAACCAATGGGAATAGGATTTTCAAAGAACCTATCATTATTAACTAGTCTACTGCCCCATATTATTGTAAACTTGACACTCAGGAACATAGTTCTTGTGGATAAAAATTATGAAAATAATGTAAAGTACTGCTGCTGATGGGATATGGATACCAAATAACCAAAGAACAAAAATAAACAAATAGTTGCCATTTAGCAAGAACCTTTCTTTTAATGTTTAGTAAAGAAAATCCTCTGCTGATTTTTTAAAAATTTCCAATTCTCACTCAGTTTGATGGAAGAGAATTTCATCAGTTATTCATTTGGATGAAAAGAATCATACTTTAGAACTACTTTAAAAAGGAGAAGACAATCATAATATAATGTGATATTCTTACACTTACTTAATTTTGCCTAGCCAAAGAGTATGCTTGATGTCCTGGCTATCACTATGCTGTCATTTTTTTTTAAGCAGCCTGCAGTCTTCCCTCCTAATTTCTATACTTCAAAGAAATTCCGAGGAAAACATAATGAGAGAAGACCTCCCATTGAGCTTGTTCATGAGCAATATTGCTATCATCATAAAGGGTTGCAACTGTCCTTGAGAGATTCTCCCCCCCCCCCAGAGAAATTCAGAAACACCATTCACCCAATTTCTCTATTCACAACAAAATTCAATGTATGGATGCAGTGGACCTGTTTCCTTTGTCCTTGAAACTGAGTAGCCATTCTTATTCAGAAGGGCAAGCTGTTGTTCACTGAGGCAAGGGAATGGAAAGACATGTACACACACCAGAACTTTCTGCACATAACTCACATACTCAAATTTTCCAGATTAGACCTTCTCTCTTTAATATCCAAACAGAGAAATACCCCAACCAAGTAGTGCTCTTCTTCACTTATTTGTTCATAGAATTCCTTTAAATATTACCACACACATGCCAAACATTACATGACATCAGCCCTCCAACAGGAGTGTTGCTTGGTCAGTATCTTGGTTTGGATGGCATCTGTCTGGTTTGTCACTGAAAAAGCTCACCTGGTGTACAAAGGGCCAAAAATTCGAGACTTGCTGGTAGAGTAATAATAATTGAGCTCTCAAAGAACATAGTATTAAACCAATGTATCATTTGTGCTACAATCTCTGAATAGACTTCCGTTCACCCCACTTCTATGGTCCTGCAGTCTCTTTCCCAGTGTTATTTTTTTTTAACCCAGCTCAAAATACCTGAGTCCAGTAAGAGAAAAACAGAGACATGAGCAGAGAGGCTATTGCAAGGTGAGTGGTAAGTCAAGACTACTATCACATGAAATGAATCTGCTGTACATTATTAAGCTTCAGTTCCCTGTCAGTGCTAACACAGAGTTTCCGTGAAGCAATGTCAAGAAGCCAGAGTGCTTTGCAAAGAGCTCCCCCAGAGAAACAAGGGTATTCTTTTTTTAGGAGGGGGAGTGGTTCTTCCAGTTCATAGCTAGAAGTAAATTTTTGCTTCCACCCTGTTCCCAAACTTTGCCTGGTGATTGGAAGGATGGTCTATTGGCTGATTGCCTTGCCTTTAGTTTTCCACAGCAGTTAGATTACTTTCAAAAATTGCTGGGTGAGATCATCCTGTAGGACAGTGTTTCTCAACCTCAGCAATTTTAAGATGTGTGGACTTCAACTCCCAGAATTCTCCAGCCAGCATGCTGGCTGAGGAATTCTGGGACTTGAAGTCCACAAATCGTAAAGTTTTTGAGGTTGAGAAACACTGCTGTAGGATAAGCAACACAGTTCAGTTCTCCATAAGTTGGCAGAACTCAAAGGGAGAATTCAGCTTTTCTTGCCAGATTGCTTATGGTCCAGAATCAACTTTACCATCTTCTGCTTCATTCAGCAAGATTTAGATAAATGTAATTTACAGTGATCTATTATAGCTATAAGGCAGAGTTAATATCTGAGATCACAGTTACAAAACCATGTGCTTGTAATTATTATAGTTTAAGCAATTTGGAAGAAAAGAGCAGATGTGACACTGCCAACATGAAGTGCTAGTTCCACTAATGTTAATGGGAGAGTTACTAGCAGTATTATTATTGAACAAATTTGTATGTTAAACTTTTCACTGAAGGCAAGAGAATTTGTAATCCAGTCTAAAATAATCTAATACATATGTTTAGGATTGCTGCCCTAAGGCTAGTTGATTTATAACTTATCACTATGTTCAGTGGCACTTACTCCCACCAAAAATATTTTGTTTTGTCTGGATAAAAGTTATATGACTCACATCATCCCTTGCACTGCTCTGTCTGTCTGTCTGTCTGTCTGTCTGTCTGTCTGTCTGTCTGTCTGTCTCTCTCTCTCTCTCTCTCCCACACACACACACACACACAAACTCTCTAACACAAATGTGCGCATGTGCACACACACACACACACAAACACGGTATACAAGAGAGATGGAAGAATACTTTTAAGCAATTTTGATTTTTTTTTTTTGTGGCAGCATCCTTAATCCAATGATTTCCAGAAGTGCTAGATGGCAAAGTTCAGAATTCCTGGCCAGTGTCGCCAATGGGAATTCTAGAAATTGTAGTTGTGACAGAGTTGGATGGCACTATGTTGGGAAAGGCTGCATTGAAAAGCCATGACTTAATAGATAAAAATAAGAGTGAACTCTTAAAGGAAATTTTAATTCTGGAAAATCAGTTTATTATTCTGTCTCAGTCTGTTCTGGGCTACATTTCCCTACAAATTTCTGTTAAGTTCTTTTCAAAATTCTCTTTCCAGGCTCATCAAACACTTCCTAAGACATGCCAAATAAATTTCTTAGCTTTGTATACTCCAAGTACAGTGAAAGAAAGAAAGAAAGAAAGAAAGGAAGGAAGGAAGGAAGGAAGGAAGAAAGAAAGAAAGAAAGAAAGAAAGAAAGAAAAAGAAAGAAAGAAAGAAAGAAAGAAAGAAAGAAAGAAAAAGAAAATCTTGACTTACTGTTGTTGTTGGGAAGTGTTTGGCTGCCACTGATGGTGCTGGCTGGGGGTGGCGAGAGGGACTGAACAGAGACTGTGTCCTCTTCTTGGGAGCAACCTGCCTGGATAGCTCGGAGGTAGCTGTGGCTCCGGGAACGGAAGTAGCTGGGAAGAGGCAGGTCCAATACTTCCACAGCAGCTGATTCTGCTTCACTGTAAGTCGATTCACACATACCTTCATATTGATCATTCAGCTCTTCTTCTGTCGCCTGCAAGGAAACAGCTGGTCATTCTTCATCAAAAGTATCACTCGTGCTCTATATTTCATAAGCTTCCTTACTGTAAATATGTCTCTTATATTTATTTCATGTCAACTTTTCTTTGCCAAGGGGTGCCTTGTTTTTTATTATTTATTAATTTGGGCATCAAAAGGTCACAATGGACAAGGCTGTAGCATAATGATATCTCTAATGACCGCAATCCAGGGATTTGAGAATCTTGTCCTGTTGAAGGAGATGGATACTTTCCCTCAATTTTCTAGCTGTATTAAGCCTATCTGAGGTTTAACACACCAATGTCTTTCTATTTTATTTTGTTTTCAACTGAAAAGTCAGAGAGAAATAGCCTCTTCCTAGTTCAGTGATTTGCTTCTGAATCTTACAGAGCTCCAAAATCTACAAAAAGAGTTTGGACAGGCCCTGTATGGAGTACATTAGCTGCAAATTACCTATTGAAGTCCTAATTGAAGACACCGGGTTTTTTTGGTGCAAAGCAAGATTTCTTTGTTTTCCAGTAGGGCTGAACAACTTGTGATCCAGAAAGCTACATTTTATATTATTGTGACATGGAAGATGCTTGGTTTTGTATTATCATTAAGGCATCCCAAAGGTGCTTTTTCACAAGGCAACTGGACTTTCTTTTTTCTCTTTGAAGATGTTTCACTTCTCAGCCAAGAAGCTTCTTCAGCTCAGAGCAGTTCTGAGCTGAAGAAGCTTCTTGGATGAGAAGTGAAACATCTTCAAAGAGAAAAAAGAAAGTCCAGTTGCCTCATGAAATAGCACCTTTGGGACAACCATTACCTGAATGACTGAGAATCTCCATAGATATCATTACGGAAGCAACAAATTAAGGAAATTCAAAACCATGCATTGGATCACCGTATATATCTTTTGGATGGAATATAGCTTGATGGCTCACCAACAAGAAGGGATGTTTGAAATTAGCTCACAGCTATTATAAAATGATTTGAGATTCTCATTACATGGACCCATGGAATGTTCATAACTGAGAACGTTAACGTGTCAAGGCAATGACATGGAAAAAAGAGATTTTTTACCGGAAATTTAAAACCCTTAAGCTTTCATCTATAATCTCTAGTGAGAAAATCCAAATCTTCTAATCCTGTCTATACTTAGAAATAATACATTCTATCTATTTTTCTAAAGCATGTATTTTTAATTTATAAGTGTTCAACATTTTATAGACTTTTTTCAAATTATTTGTTGTGCTACTTCAAGCTAGAGCTAATATTTCCCATCATATTCTAGATGGTCTTTACCTCACATTCTTTTCAACTGTAATTCTCTCTGTGAGAGATGGGCTATTTGGGTATGATATTTGTCATTCAGACTTAGCATTGATTTCCAATGCTGTAGTAATAGTAAACTGAAGCATTATGGTTGTTCTTTTAACCTTCCTTGCCACCTTTCTTTTTTCTTTCCTGGCCTCCTGATGACTTCATTTCTATCTCACACTTCACAAGTTGTCATTCAAAGGTATTGATTTTTAGTCATATCAATCTATGCTATGAAAAGATTTTGCTGGAGTTTCATTGAAAGGCAAAAAGGGAAAAGCGCTTTCAATGAAAAGTGAGTTGAGAAGAAAACAGGAAATGTCAAAACTTTATATAATATAAGGAATAAATCCACATTTCACTTTTGGTAAATTTTAATTTTTTTTCAAGCATAAATTGATTCTATCCCACAGAATTTTCTTAAAGTCTGCATGAAAACGGATCAGCATCTTCCAACAGATATGCACAATTTTTAATGAATTTTTCTTGCTGAATACGTTCTTCTATGAATTCTTCCACATAATCTTTCAAATATATGCATTTTTAAATAGAAATTTAGAAAAAATGTGAATATTGGGAAGAACTACATCTTGATTTCATTTTTGCTCTCATCTTAGTATACAGTAGCTTCAGTATAGTGTCATATTAAGGGGCATTAGAAGATTGTCAGATAGACGGTACCTGCTCTTCTTGTGTAAATATCTGTGGAATAAATGAGGATTGTCCAAATATCTGGAAGAAAGAGTTGGAGAAGATTAAAGCATAAGGGATTGGGATTTCACTGCTTCACTGCAGAACCATTCAACAGGACCACAAAGTGACAATGGTAACCACGGAACAATTTTGGCCTGTGACATCCACATCCAGAAGAATGAGCTGCTCTTCTGACAACTAATCAAACACAGCAAGACAACACTTAAAATATTACATCCCTAGATACAATTGACATTTCCACAAAACTAAGTCTACATAAGACAATTAGCCTACTCTCTAATTTCCCCTAAACTGATAGGGAATGAAATCTAAATAAAAATGATATTCTGGGAAAATAGTATTTTTGGAACACAACCAAGATATTTGACTCCACGATATTGGGGCAGAATTTTTCCTACACTATTAGAACTGAGTAATTAAAGTTATTGACCATTTTAGTTGTCTCTTCCACCAAATTTTGAGTAAGGTTATCAAGGCAGAAAACACACACTGAGCCCAGTGTAAGATAATATGGGCTATAATCCTAGTTTTGATTAAAAACAGACTTTTAATGTTAAACAGTCTTTCCGCTTTCTACTTAATCTGGCTACTGTTAACACACGTATCTAATTTCTTTCTTTTCCTTTCCTTCTTTTTTTCTAACTATATCTGCACAGAATTAACCACACATATCTATGAAGAAAGATAAAAACAGCAAAAATAATCTAACTACACTATATTGATTTCCAAATATGCATCTGAGTTGCATTGCACTGAAACTTTACATATTGATTACAAACCTCAGATGGATTTGGTAGATGTATTTATATACTCAGAAGATGAGAATTTAAAGATCAAATAACAAAGAGTGCTGTCCTCCAATTATTAAAATGATGGATTAGATAAATGGATCTTTCCCCCTCAGCTTTCCTTAAAATAGGTATTCAGGGATAGACTTGCCTACTTACATTATACATTTGAAAAGGCCCATCTGTACTTTAACAAGAAATAAATGCTAACAGCTTTATAGCATTTTCATCAACTCTACCATAAAGGCATCAGCCAATGTCAGCCTTAACTAAGTGATGCGGTATTCATATAAAATCCTGCATGCTTTCAACCAGGAGTGGCGTGCATAGATGCAGCAGTGGGTGGTTTTAGTTTACCTAAACCTATAAATCTTATTGTAGAATCACAAAAAAATGTAATGAGATCTGCACGTACTTCTCCTAATGGAATGGGGAAACTTACTACTGCCGGCTTGCTGCCACCGGCTTGGCGCAGCTGGCTTGCCCCAACCAGCTCACTGTGGGACAATTCACTGTGGGAGAATGCCAGAGGCAAAGGAAACCTCCTCCTCCTTTTCCTCCTTCTCTTTCTCCCTCCCTGGCCGTGGGAGAGCTCGCCACGGGAGAATGTCAGAGGTGAGAGGAACCTCCACCTCCTCCCCCTCCTTGTGGAGGAGCTGTCCATCCTGTGTGAGTTGTGCCACCTTGAGTCAGCTGGGGTGAATTGTCCCACATCGAGTTGGCCGGGGAGAAGTGGCAGTGGCAAGGCGGCAGTGGCAAGTTGTCCTAGACCCTGTCCTAAAGAGTTCAATATGACTTAGTAATAATTATTTACTTTCAGATTTTGGAAACTTGTGTTTGAGGAAATGTTAAAAGTAAAAATAGCCTACCAATTTCCTTTTCTGCTTTTTGGTAGACTTAAAACCACTTTTTAGCAGTGTGCCTGTAATGTATTAAATGGAAAAATTGTTGCTGGATTTAAAACATGCCAATTATTGATTTTATTAGTGGGGATTCCAATTAGTTCATACTTTTTAAATCCTTCCTCCCCCCACTCAATACCTATGTAATCTCATCCTCTTATAATCAACATTTCATAAGAGATAGTCTTGTTTGGTCCAGAGGATCCTGTCAATTGTATAAGTATGCCCCAGTTGACATTAAGCCTGATTAATTTGACATGGTGTATATCCCAGAAATGAAAAAAAAGGACAATTGCAGTTTGTAACTCGTTATGTTATCACTGCAAACCCTGTATTTGAGAAAGTTTCAAAGAAGGATAAAGTGTGGAAACTGGCACATAAAAGATGGATGGAAAATGATGAGGGAGGAGTGCTTGTTTGAAGGCTTCACTGCAGTTTTAACAACTTGGGAACAAGCATCGGACCCAAACATGATTTATGAAGATGAGAAAGATAACCTCAGTGAGCCATTCAGAAAAGTACTGGGGTCAATCCAGGGTCTTCTTAGTGCTATGTTAATCAGATTGTGATAGAAAACTCCCTGCTATCCATAGTCTTTTCAGTAAAAAACCTGTTTTCAGATGCCTGTGTGGAAGTTAAAATGGTTCTCAAATAAAATCTTATTTATGCACATGGTGAACATCTTTTCCCAAATTACAAAATTTAGTCTACATTTTGAAACAGCTTAAGAAAGCTTAATGTGGTTAGTTTGAAGATCCTTATCACTTTTATAAAGATCATGTTTTATGACTACATTTAAGCATTTTCTTTGGATATGTTTTTCATGTTTTAGGGTATAACTTGTAAATATTAACTGGATCTTTTTTTAAGAGGTCTTCTATGGTTCTTCTCATTGAATGAGGCCAGGGAAAACACAAAATCTATTTCATTTATATTTAAAAACTTACACATGTTTTATCTGATTACATTGCAGACATGTATATAATAGTTTTTTTTCTTTCGCTCTCTGATTCTGAACGTTATAATTTAGAGTACACTTCGTTCTTAAGAACTAGATCTAAAGCTTCTAGGGACAGTCAGGTTGTTCACAATGTTCTAAAAGTAGAAGCCGAACATCTTTGTATAATTTAAAACCTTAGCTTAGGGATTATCAGGAAGTTGACTCTATGGTTGATCAAGTTTGCTGCAAAATACATTGGAACACTATTGATGTTATTTTAGCAACAGTAATAAATTTATAATAGGCAAAACAACTTATTTATTTTATTTAAATATTTATATAGCTGTTCATCTTCAACCAACTCTGGTTGAAAGCACAGAGCTAGCTCCAGGCTTGAAAAGGCCCTAGAAGTATATCCTGATGTATCTTACTTACAATGGTTATCCTTAGAATTATCCAGACTCACCCTGAATTGGCAGCAGAAGGCAGCAATAGTATTCTAATTAGCACTAAATAGCAATCAATATTTTATTTTCCCCATGCTATTACACACCTAATGTTCTATTACTCCATGGTAGGTTCTAACTATAGTCAGGCATACAGTATATTAGGCTCAAGAACAGTCTAGCCAGTAGCCAATCTAAAAAAAAATATTTATTCTTAGGAGCTTGCCCAAATTTTATTGAAAAGCCTGAAAATATATTTAACTTAGGAAACACTTTGACAAAGTTGTTTGGAGGAATAAGCAAGTGGCAAGGCTATCACTTGAATTCTAGGTCACATCAATGTAACTATTAATTTTAATGGAGAGTCAATACAAAGAAATTCATTCTTCCTTGAATTTATCCAGGACATAGACAACATTTGCTACCCGCTGGACAAAACTATTATGGCATTTTTCCAAGATTCCAAGAAACTTCCCAAAATATTTTATAGAAAAAATAATTTTTACATGACAAATGAAATTTTTTGACAAACATCACAAAAACAAAAATGCTTTTATAAGTCATAATTGAATCTTTTTCCATGCTTTGTCATTCCAGCTTGTTTTGGTGTGTTATTCTGCTCATGTTCTCTGACTCTCAGCCTAATTGACCATCCATAGTATCTGGTTATTAGGCTGATTATGATCTTCCCTAGTTCTATATTTAACTTGATTACTGAATTGAAAACAGTAATCTTGATCTTTGTTATCTTTTCCTCTTAATAGAACTGCCAGATATCTGTAATCTGAAGAAATTTAACTACCCATATCTTTCTAAAAGTAGCTGTAGAAAGGAAGAATAATCAGTGCATAAAGCTGATGTGCTGTTTATACTCTTTCTGGCATTTCTGAGCCACAATTTCATCAGAGGTCTCCTGGATGGTACCTTATTGGGACCTTATTAATTCCAGGGGACTTTGCTGTCTGACTGTTACTGGTTTGATGGCTGTAAAATGGGTAGAATCAAATTTATGAACGTAAATCATTAATAGCTATTACCTAAATGGAAGCTTCATTAAAATACTGGCTATTTGGACAATAATCAATTACAGAACCTGTCAACTCAACTTATTAGCCTTCTTGAAGCACAGGATAATCTTTAATCTGAGACCAGATGCTGGATTATATGGAATATTGTTCTGATCTGGCAGGAGTCTTTTTATCTTGTAAATATCTCCAAATAAAGACTTCATTTTCCTCATGTGCTTGTTTAGGCAGCAAAAATGGTTGCCAAATAGAATTTGGGTTAAGTGATGTCATTATGTGAGTCACACCTGATTTTTACAATCTGTTTTACTATAGTTTGAACATGAACCACAATTGTTAAGTGAATTTAGCTTCTTCCATTGTTTGTCAGAAGCCTCTTGGGAAGGTTGTAAATGGCAATCATGGGACCCTGGGATGCAGCAAATGTCATAAATATGTGCCAGTTGCCAAGCACCCAAATTTTGATCATTTGACTGTGACAGTCATAAGGAAGAGGACTGATCATAATTCACTTTTTTCAGCACTGTTATAACTTTGAATGATCATTAAATGGACGGTCTACTGTAAGTCAAGAACTATCTGTACAAAGTTCATTTGGTATTAATAAGTTCAGGATCTGAAGCTCAAGATCTGCAAAAATGGAATAAGCTTTAGAGCATAGGCATCAAACTCGATCGTGTCATGTGACGTATCATGATGTATCATGACTTTTTTGCCTTTGCGGAGCTGGGGTAGGCATGGCCTGCATATGACACATCTGGCCTGTGGGCTGCTAGTTGGACACCCTTGCTTTAGAGGGAAAAATGTCTGAAAAAGTGAGGGGACAAGAAGACCTAACCTAGGAGAAATAGAGATTTCTCAGTGATTAGAAAATAATTTAGAATGAAAAGGAATAACTGAAAAAGGGCAAGTCTAGGCAGAACTCTCAATTAGATTTCTCTATGTGGCAATTCTGTGCTACAAATATATATTTTATTTTATTTTATTATATGCAGCTCTTGATGACTACAATTAATGCAATTATTGTTATCTCAAATGTTTATTAGGAAATTTTAGTGTTATGTGGAGTAACTAATATATTACAGAGAAGCATTTTAAGACCTATGAAGAGCTGTGACGGGCTAGACTTGAAAATTCTATGTAGTCCAACATCTTTCTGTCCTCAAGTGCTTCTGTGAAGAAGAATCCTGCAATTTGGTGTATGTATAATATGGTTAGATGACAAGACATGTCTAAACTGAATATAGGTAGATATGCTATGCAGGAAATAGATAAGCTGATTAAATGTAGGGAAAGTATCTGACTATTAAGATAATATTTCATAAATGCACTTTAAATATATTTATTATTATTATTATTATTATTTTTTATTATTATTATTATTTTAATTTCTATACCGCCCTTCTCCCGCAGGACTCAGGGCGGTGCACAGCATATTAAAAACAGATACAATAACAATATACAAAAATAAAACCCTTCTAAAACCAAATTAAAAACCAAATATTAGAGGCTGTGTTCCAATTAAAATTATACTTAAAATCGTCCCTAAATAAAATCCTCCTTAGG